ATGTGTCTTCTGATCTATAACCATTTTCGTATGCTTTCTTCGTCTTCGTCTAAGTAATTCCTTCTTCCCTTAGTTTCTCTAAGAACTGTCCTGAGGTGAAACAAACCTTGGTTGGGTGAGCTGCTTTCCCGCTTCCTGTCTTGATTCCTTGATTGGAGTAGCTCGCCTATACGGGATCAACTGGATTAGCTGCTATCTATTATTGATGAAAAGGGATAGGCACGTCATGCCCGACAAACTCACCTTGCATTGGTCAATGAACAATGGGACTGACCGCCCACTCAACTCAAGACTTCGCTTGGACCGGAAATGACTAGGGGATAGGATGAAGACAATGCATCATATGAAATGGGTTCAATGTCCAATTATGAAACCCTTGGAAGAATAGGCTGAATCGTAGACAGGGAATTTCGTTCTACAAGCCGGCTGCATTCAAGCCCAGTTTATCGTCGATGACGGCTCTCCTTTCGATGCTAGCAACCGCATTTGACCCTTTTCCGCGCTTCTTTCAATTTCCTTACATTCTAGCTGAAGGAGAGACTTTAAGATTCTTTGGTTTCAAAAATCAAGGGTGCAGTGGTACCAGGCGGGGGAAAAAAATACTAAATTTTTTCACTTGTCTACGGTTTGGAGACGAAGAAGAAATAAGATTTCTATGCTACAAAATGATGCTGGTGAGTGGGTTTTTAGTCAGGATCTGCTGCGAGCTATGGTTACGGAATACTATAAGTCTTTGTTTTCTGTGGATTCTAGTGGGGAGTTGCTTCGCTTGGTTGTTCCTTGTCCTAAGCTACCTTGGGACCAGCTTCCGTTACTGGATGAAGGTGTCAGTCTTGCTGAGGTAAAGAAAGCTTTATTTCAAATGAAACCATGGAAAGCTCCAGGGCATGATGGTTTTCAGGCGGGTTTCTTTCAACGTTTTTGGGAGACTACGAGCTCTGCTTTGTGTCAAACGGTGACCGCTGCTTTTGAAGAGGGGATTTTGCCGAATACTTTGAGTGAAACTTTGTTAGTACTTATACCGAAGGTTCCTAATCCTGAGCATTTGAGACAGTTCCGTCCTATTAGCCTATGTTGTGTGGCTTACAAGCTTATTACCAAAGTTTTGGTGAATCGTATCCGACTGTTACTGCATGATCTTGTGGCACCTAATCAAGTTAGCTTTATTCCAAGGAGACAGGCTGCTGATAATATAATCCTTGCCCAGGAAATAATTCATACAATTCGTCGATGTAGTAGTAAAAATGGACTTATGGCTATCAAGATTGATTTAGAGAAGGCATATGATAGAGTAAATTGGTCTTTCCTTCGTGATACACTTCGAGATTTTGGGTTTTCGGAGAAGTGGACTCGGTTGATCATGTTGTGTGTGGAAAGCTCAAGTTTAGCGGTTTTGTGGAATGGGGAGAAGCTGGACTCTTTTAGACCACAGCGTGGTCTGAGACAGGGTGATCCTCTTTCTCCTTACCTTTTTGTTCTGTGTATGGAGCGGTTGGGGCATTTGATTGATAGAGAAGTTCAGAGTGGGGCGTGGAAACCTATCAAAGCTGGTCGGAATTGTCCTGGAATATCTCATCTTTTCTTTGCAGATGATTTATTTCTATTTAGTCGGGCGGGTGAAGCACAAGCTAATAAAATTAAAGAGGTGCTTGATGAATTTTGTGCGGCTTCTGGAGCGAAAATTAGTTTTGAGAAATCTAAGATCTTTGTTTCCCCAAAAGCTCATGGTAGCGCTAGTCGTATGAGTTCTCTGCTTGGTATTCCGAGTACAAATGACTTAGGCAAATACCTTGGAGTGCCTATCATTCATGGACGAGTGACGAAAGCTACTTTTAAGGAGATTGTTGAAAAGGTGCAGCGGAAGTTATCAACCTGGAAGTCAAAGCTTCTGTCTTTGGCTGGAAGAGCTACTTTGGTGGGGGCTGTAACAAGCTCGATTCCTACTTACCACATGATGACAATGCTAATGCCGAAGAATGTTACAAGTATTTTAGATAGTATGAATAACCGTTTTTTATGGGGAGGAAATGAGCATAAACGTGGAGTCCACTTGGTAGCCTGGTCTGATGTATGTACTCCCAAGTCCATGGGGGGGTTAAGTTTACAGCGGATGGAATTGCATAATAGAGCTTTACTTCAAAAAACAGCGTGGCGTTTCCTCATGGAGCCGGGTAGCATGTGGGTTCGTTTTTTGAAAGCCAAATACGGAATAGGTGATGATATTTTCAGGTTTTTAGACAACAAACCGAAAGGTTCCCCAACTTGGTCTTCTACTTGGAAAGGTTTGGCTCGGGCTTTCTCCTTTTTGTCTGCTGGTCTAAAATGGAGGGTTGGTAATGGTCGTACGGTACGGTTCTGGGAAGATCCATGGCTCCTTAATGTCCCTTTAACTCATTCTTTGGATCCCTCCTTTGCTATAGAAAATCCTGGTGTTTTGGTGAGGGAGTATATAAATCCCGAGGGTGGATGGAATATGGATAAAGTTTTTCTTGACTTGCCGGCGGAGGTAGCTTTGAAGGTCATTGGTTATCCTTTGCCTCGCTTTTCATCGATACAGGAAGGATTTGGAAGTTTTCGACCGATGGGGTTTTCAATACTAGGTCGGCTTATGCATCATTATTAAAGGATGAAGCTGATGTTGATGGTGGTTGGGCTTGGTTATGGAAACTGCCGCTCCCTTCTAGATGGTTGCATTTTGTGTGGACAGTGAGAAGAGACCGTTTACTCACAAATAGTATGAGAGCAGCTTGGGGTGTGAGTTTTAGTCCGAACTGCAGTCTTTGTAATGATGGGGTGGAATCGGTGGTACATGTCTTAAGGGATTGCCGCTATGCGAGTTCAGTTTGGCAAGGGTTCGGAATATCTTCCTCCTCTGCTCCCTTTGCTTAATTGGTTAGATGATAATTTGTTATCCAAAGTTCTCTATGCAGGTATAGAATGGAGAATTATTTTTGCTGTGACATTATGGAGACTTTGGACCCGACGATGTGATTTCATCATGAAGAGTGAAGATGTTTCTTTGGAGGCAAATCCTTTGATTTCAAATATTATGGATACTGCTAAAGAAGTGATGACTGCTTTAGTCGATCCTAAGCCTGCTGCTGCCACCAATTTTTGTGTGCAGTGGGAGTCACCAAGTGATGGTACGGTGAAGCTAAATGTTGATGGCGCAGCAAAGGGTAACCCAGGGATTGCAGGAGCCGGGGGTTTGATTAGATCCTCGACGGGTGCATGGCTTATGGGTTTTAAATTACACTTAGGAGTGTGCTCGAATGTGGAGGCGGAACTACAGGCTATTCGGAGAGGCCTACAACTGGTATGGGATTGTGGTTATAGGGTCCTAATTTGTGAATCTGATGCTTTGGTGGCAATTGATTTGGTACGTAATGGAGATGTAATGATTCATCCACTAGGATGTTTAATTGCTGACATTAGAAGCTTATTGAATAGAGAGTGGCGGTGTACATTGCAGCATATTTATCGAGAAGGAAATTTCTGTGCTGACTGGTTAGCGAATGCTGCATGTAGCTTGGATGAAGAACTTGAGTTGATTGCGAATCCACCTGATGATATGAGGATGTTGCTTGATGCTGATGCAAGGTAATTTTTAATACCCGTGGTTTTTCACGTAGTTAGTTTGTATTTTTCGTGCTTGTTTTTACCAAATAAAAAAAAGGACTTTACCTTTACTTAGAGAGGGGCAGCGGTACCAGGCCCTTCCGTGCTCGTAGGTTGACTCCCCTATGCATCCCGACTAAGGTCTCACAAACATGCACTTCCCTTATGCATCCAGCCGCTTCACTAATGTGAATAGGTTATACAGAAGGGCGGTTTGGTTATATACTCTTATGGGTGTTCTTTCTTCGAACCTTTTGGTATGTATTGCCCCCTTAATTATAGATCAGATCCACCAGACGAGAAAGTCAATTCCGCACTGCTGCTGAGTCGTCGGACTTATCCACCAAGGGGATTCGTGGAATTTCTGTGGATTGCGTTGGGGGAAATCTACCAAAGCTAGGCAGATAGATAGACTCCTTTCCCGCTGCTAAGAGAAAGCAAGAAAGAAAAGAAAATGATTGTTTTGAAATCAGCGCCACCTTTTGGGTATGCAGATACTAAGAGTCCTCTCACTACCAACCAGCAGACATCATCTGGCTGGGTCTTGCCGGTATCAACAACGAGAAAAAACAACCAAATGGAAACAGCAACTAACTATGGCTCTTGGCCCAGACAACGCCCTAGGCTACGGGGGGATCGGAGCAAGAGGGAACGCCTAGACGACGTTTTTCTTCCTGGGCTGCAGTAAGTAGATCGAGAGGTCGTTCCGCCCCCTGTCCCCGAAGATGGGTAATATGTTCTCAAAAAATGTTGCTCTAATCTGACCTAGCTGGCGAGCGATCCCAGTTCGCGGCAGAGAACAAGACAGCAAGCGAGCGTACCTTTGTTCGCTTCTTCTCCACCAAGCACGAAAGTTTAAGGATAACTGTTGGTCGGTGGCTACCTAAGGAAACTCCGATTCGATCCGCCCCCCCCCGGCTGGGAGGCATTTACCTCATCCCGATCACAAGGAGAGGTTCACCATGATGGGGAGTACTTCTTTTTTTTCCTTTTCAGAAAGAATGAAATGCATAGGGGACCATCCTTTTGTTGCGGCATGCTCCTCAGATTTACGGATTCGCAGGGGGAGGAACGACCTACTTAGTTGACTGACAATGACAAAGGCTTTCGAAACTAAGTAGGGCCTTTTTGAATTGAATCTTAAGTAGTCTATCAGTGGTGCGAAGCGGTTTTGCCCCTTTTCAGTAGGGAAGCGAAAGTAAAAAGTCAGCGAACAGCGGTTCTTCTATGTAGGTATGGCCTTTCCCCTTGACTTTCCTAACGTCGAGCTAAGTGACTTCGTAACCTTTGCGTAGCGTAGTAGAATGAAGGCTACGCACCGACGCTCTCTTATCTATTAGCCTAAGCGTCTTCGCTAACTCGCTCGCCTACTATACTATACCCTACTATTAGTGGGCTAGACTAACTCAGCCGCTTACTTCTACTAATGTGCTTACTTCTACTAATGTATTGTATAGTAGCGCCTTTATCCTTTTTGAATAACCCATTCTCATTATCTTTCATAAGTCAAGTAGGCGAACCCATAGGTCCTTAGTAGCGTTGACAAAGAAGAACAGCCGGTTAAAAAAAAGACAACGAATCTTTTTATTTATATTATATATAGGCCAGCTTGACAAGCTCTTGATCTGAGGTGCGAAGAGAAAGATTTCTTTTTTATGACTTCTACTTATCGATCCCGACCCGGAAAGTGACCGACCAGGGCCCTATTGATGAATGAAAGAAAAGGTTTTTGAGCCCTAGCCCTGTAAGCCCACACCTGTGTAGAGTAGATCGTTCAACACCTGCGGCACAAACCCATTTTTGACCTATTGGTCCTAGTATCATAGGCGACCGAACGGCCGCCCCCTAATTACTAGACCGACCTGCTATAATAATTCCATAAACACCTAGCGAAGATATGGCAAACAAATAAAGTAGCCCTATGTTCGAATCTGACAATACCATACCATAATCAAAAGGTATAACGGCCCAAGCGACCAGACTTAACATAAATGTAGCCACTGGAGCCATTCTAAAAAGGGAGAAATTAGCACTACTTGGTGAAATAGGTTCTTTTAGAATCAATTTCAAACCATCTGCTAGAGGTTGTAACAATCCGAACGATCCCACTACATCAGGACCCTTTCGACGTTGCACAAAAGCCATTACTTTACGTTCAGCTAGCACTAAAAAGGCTACTCCTAGTAAAAGTGGTAGAATTATTCCAAGTATTTCAGCTGGAACAGCTATGTACGTTTTCGATTTTCTATTTACTCATGATCTGGCCTGGTCGACCCAATCATGATATTGAAGGATGGGACCCTTTCTCGAAAAACAAAACTAACTCCGGATCCAGAGAAGAGTTGAAGATGGTGCAACATCGAATCCATTTCCCCATCACCGCTTCGAAAAATCTAGTAATGTATCGTTATTATTCATAATATACTTTTGAAAATTAATATATTCAAGAACCAAAAATATAACCTGTCTTTTGGTGCCGGGGACATCTTTATGTAAGTTTGTAAGAAACCTTTTTAGAACGGTGAGATTAAAAAGGGCCCCCTCGGGGCTGGTTTCTGTCCGGTCGTAACCCCCCCCTTATGATTAGCTCTTTGACAAAATCAGTATCTGAGGGAAGGTTTTCCCGCCTATAGTTATGCCTGAGCGCTTCTTCCAAGATGACAGGCCGAATTCGCTGTTCGGCCAAGTGATTCATTTGTTGAATAATCTCGATAAATCTCGTGGAAAAACGCTCTTTTTCTTCATTATTGCGCCAATTGATTTTATAAAAAGAGTGCTCAATTTCGAGAGGAGTGGAATCGGGAAAAACCTGCACCTGTGGCGCCTCTTGAGAGGGCATGGGAAGGCAATCGGTCGTCTGCGTCAGCGCCTCTTGTGTTGTGCTCGCTATCTCTTGCGAAGAATTTAAAAAAGGAAGAACTGCTTGGAGTAACTCGTTTACCATATTAGTTTACAAAAGAAATATTCTGAACGACTGCTAACAGTTCGTAGTATACCGAAAAGATACCAATGAAGCCGACCATTAATGACTAATTCGAAGACCAGGAGCGGTCTGATCTATACTATACGAAATTTGTTACATATCTCGTTGGGGAATCTCATTGCTATTACTCAAATAAGCATGAAACGTATGCTTGCATATTCGTTCATAGGTCAAATCGGATATGTAATTATTGGAATAATTGTTGGAGACTCAAAGAACTCACCCCATTGTTCAAATGGAACAAAGGCTCGCCATATACTCGCCACCTCCGGACAATCTCGCAGCGCATGAATGGTTGTCTCTACTGCTGTCATATACAGCATTCCCCAGAGGCATCAAGATGCCATTTTGCTCGTAATCCATTCGTCAAAAGTCTATCCCTCCAAGCTATCCATAAAAAGAAAATCCAACGTGAAGGTAACTTAATTGTCCAAAGCCAATCAATACAGCATGGGTTCACCTCCGAATCGCCATTTAAAAGTGCAACATATGCTGTCTTTGACGTAAACAGCCCATCAGACGAGTGACTCCAGACCAGCCTGTCCTGCAAGTTTCTGTTTCGAGCCAAAGGATAGCCACTAACTTTAAGAGCCGCCTCTAATGGTAACAAGGCAAAGAGAGTAGACATGTCCCAAGCTCCATCCGAAATAAAATCACAGACCATCATCCCTGTAGGAAAAGTATTTCCCGTCGCCTGGATATCGCCAATCAATGGTGAATGAACTCTTTCCAGGGAAACGACTAATGCCTTCTATACTTATACTCTATTTGGGTAGAGTAGTGATCCCCTATCAACTATGAGCTCGTTCACACTCAATCCCGAGGAAACAACTCCCTTAGCCTTAGTTGGAAGCTAAACCTAAACCAAAGTGAAGCTTGTAGGCTCCTAGAGAAAGCTATTTTTCAGGTATACCCCCATGTTCCTAAGTCCAGATTCAGCGAATACTAAAGTAATAAAAGGAGACTTTTTGTCGTCCTATCTCCTTATTCGGAAACCAATCCATCTATGCCATCTATGATTCTATCACTCGTACGAGAGTTCCTCTCTCCATTTAGCTATTCGTTAAACAACCTTACGACTGATACTATCGAGAAGAGAAATAAAATACATTGGGCAGTCATACAATTGGCAGAAAAATCACCCAAGGGAAGATCATGTCACTTTAGACCAAGAAAATCTGTAAACGTCTCGGTGCGGTGCCTATCGGGGTGTGAGGACAGGTGAAAAAGAAAAAGCCAACTAGACAGAAGACGTATCGATAAAGGGGAATTTGCCGTTGAAAGTCCCCAATACGAATCAGGTTGTCGGCATCTCAGTCCACATTTCTCGTTACAAAGACGTATAGTATTCCCCGATCAAGCGCTTACACGTAAACTTATCCATTCCCGGAGCCAATCCCTAGCTCTTCAACCGCAAATAGCATGAAGAATATGAAAAATAAATGAGATTTTAGGATTTCACTTAAATAAGACCTTCACTCGCCCTTTGGCCTTTCCTCTAGTGCTTGCTTGGGCCTAACGTTTTACTCTGCAAGTGAAGACTTACTAACAGCGCTTTCGCCCACTTCAGACGAGTTAGTTGCTTGAGCAAAGGTGGTGGAAGACGGATCCCCTTAAACGCCTTACTTCAGCGAACCTTCCAGAAAAGCCTCTATTTCCAATTCTATTTTTGCACTCTCATTAGCGATTGTCTTATTCCGGTGCGCTAGAAAGAAGGTCGAGAGTTCTGGTAGCTGTTCAGAGAGTGCCATAAGGGGCTTTCTCGTCCGGGTCTTCCCCAAAGAAAAACAGCTCTCTTTTTTAGCACCTTTCTTTATCTAATAAACCCCAGTTCAGTAAAGAGCGTATTCCAGTAACCCGGGTTTCCTATTTCTTACTTCGGGTTCTTCGCTCGAGTAGGACGAGTAGGAAATTCATCTTCAGAGTTGGTTTATGATTCCCTGGCTGGCTGGCCTATCATCAAAGGAAATCCGTGAATAACATGCTTTCGCCCCTACGGCATATCGCTTAGGTCTTTCAGAGCCTAGTGCTTGTATCTCTACTCCCGAGTTCATGATTTATGCAAGTTGAGAGGTGATGGCAGAGGGATCCCTTTTAGAGCAAGTTGCTCAACTAATAGTGATTATTCAGTTTCCCGAGAATACTCTTCAACAGCTTTAGCGAATAGGCTTGCTAGACTGGGAGACACCTTTACTTTAAGCAACAGGAGCAGGGCAGGACCTTTTACCCAAGGCATAGACTCAAGGGGACAAGACACATAGATAGGCCTTTCTATCTGCCCGAGATGGAATGCAAGGCTGTATGCGGGATTGCCTCTTGATGCAATTCATTATGTTGAAGAGGGAGTGGGCTATTACGAGCGATTGGCCGGTAGCTTTCCTTGCTGGCCTACTGACTTTCCGCTCTTTCCCAGGTTTCAGCCATCTCTTCCCCTCTGGTATACATATCGCCATTCAAGCCTCTCCAACATTTATCACTCATGTCTTTGAAGCCTTCGTGCGAAAGCCACATCGCCTGAAAACGAAAAGGGCGTTTACTGCAATCCATGAATTGAACTGGGTCACATTGTAAGAAAATAGGGCAGTGAGAAGAATGAACTCTTGGTAAATGTTTAACCATGTCTTCGGGATACAAAAGTCGCCACTCCGCCGAACTTGCTAGAACTCTATCAAGGTCTTTCAGAGCCTTGGCAAGGCCCTTTCTCTTATTACACCACGTATAGGCAGGTCCAGAAAACCCCAAATCTAAAAGACCACAAGCCTGAATCATGCAAAGGATCAGACTCAACTAAGATACCATCCCCATCAAGCTGGGAATCTATAACTAATAGTCATACACGGGTCATCAGGCGGGTTCCTATACCGCACATCCGAGCTGAGCAAGTCCACAGGAGATTCTAATGAT